CTACCTGGTGTATGGATGTAGGCCTACATCCATACATCCAAAATTTTTTGTATTTTATAATATATATATTATAAAATACAANAACGAACGTCAAAACGATGGCATTGTAAAAGGATATAACTTATTACTTTTTCAATAAGAAAAATTCGGAGATTTGAAAAGTTTACTTACGTAACTTTTAATATTTATATTCCAAACCAAGGATCAAGAGTTAAAGTTAGAAGTTAACCAATAAGTGTTCGCGTACTTTTAGTACGCGAAGTAACATGAATAGTAATAGGTTAACTTCTAACTCTAACTCTTTTTCCCTGGTTGTTAATACGGTTCAAATTTTGGATAGTTTGATGAGGGCTAAGGCCGAAACATTCTAAAATAAGAAGCAAATAAAGCTGTAAATTTCATAGCTGGATGAATGTGGTTCTTTTGGAACTGAATTGTTTACGAATCTAGGAATTAGTATACTGTATTTTAGTTTCAAGATTTTTTCCTTGTTCTTCATAATTTTCAAAGTTATTAATTAATGAGTTATGAGCTCAAATATATAATCAAACAATTATTTTTAATTTATTCAAATTACAATATCGAAATATTATATTTCCTCTTCAATTTGTAATAATCGGATGATCGCGGGATAAGATGTTAATCTACATTCTTCACTTACCCCATTTACGCGCAAATAAGAGCATGCTATTATATATGCCAGCGTTTTTTTTTTTTTTTTTGGCTTATAAGATAATTGCACTGAAATTACTATTATTAAATTACAATTTCAGTAATAATGATTTTGCGTCTGGAAATATGTTCCAAGAAGCAAAGGTAGGATTGGTATATTTTAGTGGTAAGACGTGTTGTAATTTTCAGTTGATTTAGGATGGAGCAATTTGTTCGGTGTTCCATCCAAGAGATTCTCAGCATTCTTCTATATGTCCATATTTCAATAGTAATAATAATAATAATAAGCAGAAATTAACACTTTCAGCAAGAGCCACATGTAACTCAAGAAGAGCCGCATTTGCTCAAGTCTGGTACTCTATATACCCTATTTTATTTTTATCTTACAAGTTAGTTCAAACAAATTATCTTCTGCTATGTTCTATATCTTAATTTTAATTATTTTTGCTGCATTCTATTTTATTATTTATTGTGTTCGAAAATGAATTTTCATCTAAAATTTTATTATTCATTTTCCGACTTCCTTTGATTTAAAAAAAGAAAATACAAAAATATGACTATCTTTTAAAATTTTTTATCTGNTTCTGGGGGGGGCACCAGGTTCACTGGGGAGGGCCGTGCCCACCCAGGCTCCCCCCTCGCTACGCCCATGCTCCTACGCAAGTCCCTAGTCCCTAACTCTAACTGATTTACAACCGGCATGCACGTTATTCTTCGCATTGTAAAATGACATTGCGTATGCGTCAGGCACTTCTGTTCGAACAAACCTGACCTGCCATCCGGGTCAGCAATTTTGAAAAGGTGGCAACACTAAATAAAATACCGTATTTCGTTGCAAAAAGAAATTCAATGGCAATTGATATTTTAAACGCCACACTCCCTACATTCTATTTTATTTAGCGTATACTACGCTGTTCAACTACGTAAGTTCAACTACGCTGACAATACGATAAACAAATGGCAAACTTGCTATTTTACTCTTCGTATCAGGAAAAAAGCATTAACGTTAACGTTGCGCATGAAAAATTCATTCATTTATAAATCTAAAAATTTAACTTCTTTTTATTTTTAACTGTGTAACAATGATCAGAAAATACTACAAATTGAGTCTCGCCATTGGCGCTGTTCGCCGTAGCGGCATAATTTAGAAGGTAATGTTCGCTCAGGGGCTAGACACTTGTCTAAACAAGGTAGCGATGTCATGATGTCACGCGGCAAGTTCGGGCAGAAAAGCAGGAAGTGACGTTGAGAGCAGACATGCTATGCCGCCCAGCATTTCAAGATTGGGATTTTTAATCGACTGACAGAAAATTTGGCGAATTCTCAGGAGTGACATTATTTCACTTTGATCTTTTTTAGTATACTAAACATAAAGATTTTGACATGACAGAAGATATGAAATATTGTTTAAATATTGTGATCGAATCTGTTATTTGGAATTATTTATTAAAACAATTATTTAAACACGGAGGAGATAATAGGAAAATATTTTATGTTTCCTATTTCTAACAAGTGCGTGACAGCTTAACATGTTACTATTCTTCTCCGGACTCCAAACTGATGTCACCAGCAATGCATTAATTAGTAAGTAAACCAGGGGCCGTACTCTGGTCACTCTCTGGTCTCTCGTCTCTCGCAAGCCGGTCGCAGATTGGCTAATCCNAATGTAATGAAAAGTTATTTTGATTTTTGATTCAAAATTTATCAAGTAATGCCAAATGCCAAAATAAAAGTTTCAGCATGCTACAATTATCGACATCTAATAATTAAAAAAAAATGCACAATTTAAATTAAACTTTCTCAAAAATATATCGAAGAATTATATAAATTTACTGGCAGGAAACCTTCTAATGTAGATGTTACGTATTGACTGCATCATTTAATTTATTTTGTTTAGTCATAAACTTATGTCATAATAGTGAAATGGAAATAAAAATAAGTAACAAAATAAATTACTTAATATTGAAAATTCTCTTAGTTCTTGGAAATTTCATTAAGCAACCGTCACAAATAATTAGGATTTTATAAATTCTGAAAAAAAAGATAGAGTTGTAAGTGAATGTGATTTGGCGAGCCGTTCACGTATATTGATGTACAGTATATATGCATATAATATATTAATACGTATATTCACTATGCATGTATATAATGTTATAAATATTTTGATATCTCTTTCAATTTGAATAAATTATAAATTAGTAGTAATTCAAACACAAATTATTATTGTATTTATTTTCAGGCACTTGGCAATTTTTATCATCAAATTTTATTTAGTTTTAGTCAACTAAATAAAATTTGATGATAAAAATTGCCAAGTGCCTGAAAATAAATACAATAATAATTTGTGTTTGAATTACTACTAATTTATAATTTATTCAAATTGAAAGAGATATCAAAATATTTATAACATTATATACATGCATAGTGAATATACGTATTAATATATTATATGCATATATACTGTACATCAATATACGTGAACGGCTCGCCAAATCACATTCACTTACAACTCTATCTTTTTTTTCAGAATTTATAAAATCCTAATTATTTGTGACGGTTGCTTAATGAAATTTCCAAGAACTAAGAGAATTTTCAATATTAAGTAATTTATTTTGTTACTTATTTTTATTTCCATTTCACTATTATGACATAAGTTTATGACTAAACAAAATAAATTAAATGATGCAGTCAATACGTAACATCTACATTAGAAGGTTTCCTGCCAGTAAATTTATATAATTCTTCGATATATTTTTGAGAAAGTTTAATTTAAATTGTGCATTTTTTTTAATTATTAGATGTCGATAATTGTAGCATGCTGAAACTTTTATTTTGGCATTTGGCATTACTTGATAAATTTTGAATCAAAAATCAAAATAACTTTTCATTACATTTTCTGTTTTTTAACAATTTTAAAAGATTTTTTTATAGAAAATTAAACGTTTAAATATTTTAAAACTTTTATATAATTTTCAACAGAGCATTTAACTTATGTATTGAATAAAAGAGTACAAACAGTTTATGTTGAAACATTAGCATGAGCCTCAGTTAATAATGGACTTGGTTCAACGAAGTGAGGAAGACTTTATGGGGTCGAATCGATTCGTCAGACTAAAACAAATTAAAAAATAAATAATTTATAAGCGAATGCGCGCTTGTTTTATTTTCGCAAACTTTCAGAAGTGTTGTTTATCCATGAGAACAATTTTGTTATCTTCCGTTCATCTGACTAAAACGCTGTACTGTACGTCTTTTAAAGTTAAGTGAAACAATGAAGGATGAATTTACTTACCTATAAATGCTTTAACATGGCTCGAATGTAGAGACGGTGATTAACGTTGTTTAATTTTAGCTTCTCTCGACCGAGATGCGCTCCAACTACTATGATTTCCTCGATAACCGCTAGGGGTTGAGTGACATTCACGTGGTTATGTATGGAAACTAAATCTTATCAAACACGTGGTTTTGCTTGTTGATTTCAATATCTTAATGGAATTGTCCGATTCTATATTAATTATTGAAGATCATTCAATGCAATGAACTCCCAGTCGAAACACTTTCATTTTCTTTCTCTCATCGCCGTGAAAAACCAGTTTAAGTGGCCTTGAACCCGCCTTTAGACGACTGGATGTAGGCTCTAAGAATTTTATTTTATTTACATTCTAACCAATCATCTAATAATAATGTAACATGCACGTTTTAAACCATTTCGGTATATAAAGTAGCATGGAAATTTATTATATGTGTATGTTAGATGAGTTAGATATATCGAAAATTTTTACAGAATGATTAGATATTTTATCATTTGTATTTTTTCCCGTAGCTTATTCTTAGTTTTGTAGATTATAAATTATGGTTACGAATGAAAAAATTACTCTTTAAACTTTAATATAAACATATATTGATTCCTTTGTTATAGTGTAGTGAAAATATTTTATATATGATATTTCATAATATTTAGGAAAAACTTTTTATGATCTTTTTTATTACATATTAACTGTGTTATTAATATTAATCATATAATTATATTTAATATATAATTAGGGTTATTAATAATTATCTTTGTATTAATAGATTAACTTATAAATCGAATATGATTATAATATAACTTAACTGCTATATAAGTTCATTTATGCCGTTTCTAAGTTAGAGTTTTTACAAAACAGCAACGGTACCTTAGCAATGCCAAGTTTGTGTGAGGAAAGAAAAAATAATTTCTATTTTTATCCAGATGATTGTATTTATTTAACTCTGGACAAAAAGTACGATAATAATTACTTAAATGAATTATCATATAGCATTTTCAGATTTATTTATATTTAATTTAGAATATTTACTGTCAATAATGAAGATCTATTTCTAATAAATAACGAAGCGAAAAGGATATTGGCAGCTTTCTATTTGGGTCAGATGATTCAAATTTTGACGATCCAACATTTTTGCCTGATAATGAAGATGTTTCCGATTAAGAAAAGTCAAGAAATGAGTAATTCTATCAATAACTTGTTAGAAAATGAACTTGTTGATATGCTTATTTGTGAAGATGAAAATGTGTTTTTAAATGATGAAGAAGGAAATATAATACCTACTGGGGGAGAAATTCAGTGGAAAGTGTTACAGAAAGCAATCCTTTTTCCAGTTTACAAAATCTGGAATTCAAGTAGAAATTGATCCGGATGCCTCTCCGATGGAAATTTATTTATTATTTTTGGATAATGAGATAATTGAAATACTTGTCCATGAAACAAATAAATATTCAAAACAATATATTAGTAAGATTCAAATGAAACCAAAATCAAGATATCTCAAATGGAAACCTGTTTCTGTTAGTAAAATAAATAAAAAACTTTCTTGGACTTTTATTGCGGATTGGTCTAAATCAGTGTTTTTCAACCTGTGGGTCACGAAGCCTTACACGGGGGGTCGTGGGTAAAAGAAAAAGACATGTGTTTGTAGTTACTACAATACATTAAAAAAATTACAATTTCAGCGAGTACATGTTTATTATACAGTACAATTGGTTTTTTGATCGACATTTAGGTCTGTACTTCGGGTGTCGCCAGGGAGGGGTCTGGGTGGGTACGGCCCACTGCAAAAAATGATAGCCGAAAAAGTGTTGAGCCGACTTTTAAAAAGAAGTAATAAGTTTAAAAGTAGAAGTTGAAAACTGTAATGCTAATCACAAAAAAAAAGATCAACAGCAATACGTGTCTTAAGTTATTGTCGATTCTTCCTAACATCTTATTCTAATCAATAATAATTTTTCTCAACAGAAAGAAAATTAAATATAATTAAATTAAATTAAAATCACTGANGTATTTTAAGTAAATGTGTTCTTGAACAAATGTTCTACACAAAAAAGAACAGTTATACAAAATTGTAGACCTAAAAATTTTGACAGTTGTCTGTCTGTATGCCTGTCCTTCCTCAATCTCGAAAAAAGAGTTAGATACATGCAAATCGAGAACAAATGTAAAAATTTTAGAAGCAGAAGGCCCAGATTAAATATATAGGAACATCCGGTTCGAAAAGAAAATCGCGTTACTTCAATTCAAAAATTTCCCCTGAAACAGAGTTAGATAGATAACTAGCACGACTCTTGGTAATGGGAAAAGTATGACGTATAGTGGCAAGACCATCACTAAAAAATTGAGAACATTGTGACGAAAAGTTGCAGCTCGGCATTGTGACGATGTCAGAATAAATAATCGCTCTTTAGAATTAGTTTGGTTTATTTGGTTACAGCAACGCGACACGTTAGCGATCTGTCTGGGGAAAGTATCCCAGGAAACTTTTATGGGAAGCTGGACCTTACTTAGGTGGAGAAAACCCGGTAAACTCCACGTGACCAGCCCGTTTTCCATGCCTGAACCCACGACTAACTACTACCAGAGTTCGGTGGTTTTATGCACTCAGCAATCGGAGAGCGCTTATTAGAATTATGAAAGTACCGTTCAGAAATGAAAAAACCCGATTTGTTAGACGTGGAAAATTAAATACTTATAAATTTTTCACAGAGTAACCACTGTCGATTGCACGCAGGCAAGTGCTATATACCTGTACTATCTGTTGTAGTAATTATATAACGCGTCTATTTCGCGCTATATCATTGTCGCAGTAATTAAGTGAATATAATATGGTTGACCCCCTTATAACACGGGTTCCTATAGTTCGGATTCATATATCATGGCGAAAAAATTGCGACAGTATTCGTACAAACAAGCTAAAAAAACTCCTATAATTCGGTAAAACGTCATCACCGACTCGTGTCGCGACAGGATTCGTCGAATCGGATATTGCACAAACCGTTGAGTTTAAACGAGCAGCGGACCTACTAAAAACCATTTATTATTTAACGTCCTTAAAAATTATATTTATATTAATGATGTCTCCGAAGTTCAGTGAATTTTTCTCAAAAAATATAATTTATTAGGAAGCACGCGAGCGCTTCCTAATAAATTATGCTCATGGCAAGCTCCACGATGAAAACAAGCTTAAACAATGGCGTGGTCGAACGGTGCACACTCGGTAAGTAGTCCTACAATTTTTTGTTTATAGCATAGTTTATATGGATTATTCCCAAAAAATTATACGTATTTTGGAAATGTTGAGTCGAATTAGTCTAGAATCGATTAATTTTATGGAAGAAACCTTTCAAACAGCCGAAGTCCGTAAACTGCATACGTGCCGGGATGTGATTGGCTGGACTCGTAGAAAATGGATTCATAAAAACTGGAACATATCTACCGTGTTATGGGGGGGTCGTCTGTAAACTCCAGAAAAATCAGTTTGTTTTTGTCATGAATTTGTAGTAATTGTCTATTATATGAAGTATTTATGAACATTTTTAACTTACTAATTTTAAATATTGACTATATTTATATTTACAGGTAGATAATTATGCACCAAAAGTTAAAACCTACCCAATAGATAAAAAAGCTGATGCCCAGTTCAACCAATTAGAAAGTATTTATGTTGGAAGAAATGGTAATTTTTACTTTCAGTTTGTAAAATTTTATATTACAGTTTTTATTTGGAAATTAATATTTACTAAATACCAAATGAACTTCATTGTTGGAAATTTATTAAATTCCTGGAAATTTTTCATATTTGATTATGTTGAGATTTCTGCATTAATAAATTTATATATTTATGTAACTGAAATTTATCTACTTTTTAAAAAGTCTTCATTATCTTTTCAAAATTGAAATAAGCAAAATAGAGTATTCAAAACAACTAATACAAAGTGCAAGAAATTCATAAATCAGTTGAAAAAGATTGAAACGTCACAATGTTAAAATGATTTTATACTAAGATTATTTTGGGTTTTATTTATTTGAATTACATTGATACCTCTTAATTTGATATCAGAACTTAATTTGCTGAAGCAAGCAAATTGTTTTCTTATAGGTCATTACACTTTATCAAAGCTGTGCACAGGGTTAGCATTACTAACTGTCCAGCAAATGTACAGCTCTGATTATATGTGTAATTAAAAAAAATAAACATATACAGTACCTTGCCCAATTATTTGACCCATGGAAAAAATTGATTTGTTAGTTTTTGATGTAGTAATTATTAAAAAATGCAATTGTTGATAGGATTATTTAAAATATTAATGTTTTATTATGTCTTAAAAATAAGTTTCTGCATTAAAAAATTTGAATGTAATAGAAATTAAAGATTAAAATGAAAATTAGTGTTTTGAATGACAGCCAGTAGTGTTTCTATATCACAAAGTTTTTGTAGTAGAAAGTTAATTTTTTTATATTTACAGTGTTGCCATAAAAACTTATTAAAGTACCTCAAATATAATAGATAATAAGAACAACCTGAAAAAATACTCATTCCTTAAACAATATTATAAAGAAAAGAGAAGAAAATAGTACAAAAAGTATGATTTTGGTCAATGGGACTAATAATTTGGTGAGGTACTGTATATATAGCATATTCATCCAGATCAGTCATTGGATTTAAACAAAAATGAGTTAAAACAAACACATTGGAAACATAGGAGTAAGTTAGCTATTAATGAAATTGTATGGGAAGTAGTTGTACATTTGCATTGTCAAACCACTTTGTATAGAATGTCTTTCTCCAAATCGGCTCACCAGTGGCCAAGGAGTTCCGATCCCGAACTATGGGAGTTCGGTCATGGGTTTGCGCCCCGCCAGGACTGGCTGGTCCTGTGGAGAAAACCTGGAAAATTCCACGTCTGTAATGCCTATTCCTGGAAGGCATCCTCTAGGCCAGTGTTTTTTCACCTTCTTGAATATGTGACCCCTTTACAAGTTAAAAAAATTCTGGCAATCCTCCCAGGGCCATATTAAAACTATATCAGTGATTTTAAAAACTACGTATTTAATTTTCTTGCTTTAAAAACCAATTGTACTGTAAAATAAACAGGCACAGCCTTTTCACTGAAATTCTAGTTTTTTTTTTTTATTGTAGTGTAGGACCTACAAACACTTGTCTTTTTCTTTTACCCGCAACCCCCTGGGGTCACGACCCACAGGTTGAAAAACACTACTCTAGACAAGTGATCCAAGTGTTAACGCATTTCTCTGGATTATAATGTTTAAAACAAAGGCACTATTTTTGAGGTAAAAGTCACATGGACTAAAAATATACTGAAAATAAAATATAAAATTTGATACCCTTCCATTTTTTATTTTATAAAAGTTATCAAACTATTACCACTTCAGGAGAAAGTGCATCAATTTTTGCCACATCAGCTAGACAAAAAGGTAATACCCCCGTTTGGCAAAACTCGAACTAGTCTCAATTTAATACAGTAGTACTGACACCAGGAACAACAAAAAAAATAATTTTGAAGAACAAGTAGTCTCATGTAAAAATAAATCCAGCAACAAGTTGCATAACTTTCTCTCTGATATGGGGTTTAAAAAACACATTATCAATCATAATAAAAAAAATTGTGTACTGTGCCATTTGTTATAAAAACTTTAATAATATAAGATTTTATTTAAAATTATTATAAAATGGCAAAAAGTTTAATTTTGAGGATAGTGATGAGTTTTATTTTAAAAAATTGTAAATGCTAATGATGACTAAAATCTTCATTAAGTTAGACCCTTCACGAGATATGACGTCCCATTTCTCTGGCCTTTGACCACCGAAATTTAATAGCATCAATGTTACTTATATACAAGCCACCATGCCAAATTCGTTTCTTAATCTTTACCGTCCTGAGATATTAAGCGAGATAACTTAGATGTCAACACCCCTCACACACGAATATGTGCGCGGTGCTTTTGTCCCTGTTTTTTTTTACTTTTTTGGATTCTAGATGTCTCAAAATGTGGAGATTTACAAAAACTTTGAGGGTCAAATTTACCACAATTCCAATACTTTTCTTTTTATGTATACATAACAGTTAGGAAAGTAACAGAAACTTTGCCGCTATCATCCCATTTTGCTTTTGAAGAGTTTTTACTGTACGTGGCTTCTTCTGTTTACTGTTTAGTGAAATATCTTAGTTCGTCATAATTCCTAGTTACGGCTATCATTAATTAGTGTTATTTTCACACCACAGAGACGATGGGGACAGGAGATGGATTTATCGGATGTATATCGAAAGTGCAGTTCGAGGATCATTTTCCTCTAAGGAGAGCATTTCAAGAAGGGAGACGAGGAAACCTTTACCTGCATCCAGAAACGGTTAGAGAAGACAACTGCGGTATCGAACCGGTCACTTATCCCCCCGAGAGAAGCGAAACGCGTCCTCCACCCACTCTTCCTCCGGGAGTGTTTTTAGAAGCCGTGCGGGCGGAAAGTGAAGACGCTGCAATATTAGGAGGTTGTTATTTCACTGATGGATAGGATCCTATATACATTTTTATATCTCGATACATTCAGTTATTTTTCCTATTTCAGGTGTTCTAGTCATCATATTCCTTGCTCTGATTCTAATGGCGATATTAATAGGCCGTTACATGTCTCGACACAAAGGTGAATATAGGACTCACGAAGATACGGGAGCCAAGGATGCTCCCGACGCGGACACGGCAGTGATCCAGAGTAAGACGGGACACGGCGTACCGAAGAAGAAAGAATGGTTCATCTGAATTGCCTTATTTCTCGACGGAGCTCTCGGAGGAGAGTTATTTTTATTTCGGTCCGAGATTGAGACGGGAGCGTTTATAAATACTTGACAAAAAAAAAATTAATGCCGATAGGAAAAGAGGGGTGCCGTTTTCCGAGCGAATGACGGAAAATTGCCACGTGGCTTTGGTCTCAATGAAATTGTTAATCGCGATCCCTGATGTATTTTACGAAATCGATATTTGTAGCGAAACCGTTTAACCGGGAGAACTGTGATGACTGAACTATCGACTGGGAGAGTAAATGACGTCATGTACGTCGTTTACGTTCAAGTGCTCGGGTGGAGAAATCGTTTATATAACTATGACAAAAAGAAGTTAACGGAGTGATAAAGTTGAATCTCGCCAGTACAAATTTAATTATTTTTCAAGCCAACGCTTTTCGGTTACGTCGAAATAATTTATTCATCGTTGTGCAGAATTTGTTTCGCCATCGTTATGTACTTACCAGTTCGGACACTTTTTTTTATCGAGTTAGCTCTTATTTTGCTCGTTCATATCATTCTTACGCTGTTATATACGTCAGTTAATAATTCCACCCGAGCACTTCGATTATCGTATCTTTCTTAACATTCCAACTTTTATCATTTCTTCTCTATTTACACCATATTTTTTAATTTACCGTCGTCGGCATTCTTATTTATGTACTTATTCATTTTGAAGTTTTCTACTTCTGATGCTTTTTTTAATTATTATTAAGATGTTAGGTTAAGGTCGAAAGTTTAAATGTTTTTTTATAATTTCCTTTTTTATTATAGTAAATTTATTGTTTATTATAAGTAAGTAAATAAATAAATAAATATATATATATATATTGCACCAAGGTGCCACCGGTAGACTAATAAAATATAAATGAATATTTTGTACAGACATTTATTAAAACAAATATTGTAACAAAAAGTTTATTGTCGATTGTTGGTTTTTTAATAGTACATTTACAAGTCGACATACTCTTAAAATTATTTCCAGAAATTCTTTTCTTTGGTTTTATTTTAGGAACAGGATTTGACTAACTTTAGCGGATTCAATTAAGCCTGAACACCAGATATTTGACTAAGATAAACAGCAAAGGTAAGAAGTAATGGTATCTCTGCAAATTAGTGCTATTCAGCATAGCTTTTTCGGTCAAATAACATAATATATGGCGTGGGAACGGAGATTTTCGCTGGGGGTTGTACAGTACATAAGAAAACTGCATCAAAAGCCAACTCTATTTTTGAAAGATGTTTATTATATTTTACTTATTAATTTTTATTAAATAAATATTCGTCGTCTTCTTTGTTTTAAAGAAATTATTTTTTTTGTCTCATTGTTGATAATTGGGCTGCAATTTGAAAAAA